TGGCTAGTGGTGCAGGAGATACATCTGAATTATAAATTGGGCAACGAACTTAAACATTCTCATACTTTTAAGTAATTAATAGTTTGAAATGTTACTTGCTTTTATAAATATATACATATTACTCTATCTTACAAAGTCATTTACAGGAATATTAAATATTTATGTATAGAAAAACGAACACTAAAATTTATATATATGTTTTTACATTTCGGCATATCTTTGCCTTGGATTACAAACAGCTACTCTTATTTTTTCAAGTAAGACATATTGCTGTACCAGAACATCATTTTCTAATTAAAAAGTTGCTAAAATAAAGCCAAACAACTTCCTGTAAACAAACGCGAAAAAACAGGTCTAGCAAATATAGTAGATGTAGTAATCTGAGGTATTTTCCTGATTTCTTCTCAATAAATTTCAAATCTTGAATTAAGTTTTGCTTGAATTTTTTATAATGAATAATATTATGAATTTTTTTTTCTTTTTTTAAATGCGTTACTAACAATGCAATAATTATTATAATGAGCAACCGCTGAATTGATTGTGGGTTTAATTATTTCAAATTGTATTTTTTCGCCAGCTTGATCCAAGCAGGAGAGTTGGTTTAGAGCGAGAACGAGACGACATAAGCAAAGTCATGAGAAAATTAATAGACGGCTGACAAACATTCAGTTTATTTTTTTTTAAGGATTAACGAGCGACTGATTTTTTCAAATATATGTATAGTGTGTTGCTTTTTAAAAAATATATATACCTAATGTCATTGAAATCCATCCTGTATGCCTATACATTTTTTCTTGCAGACATAGTATGTTTAAACATAATAAAATATTGATAAGGCTTACTATTGTATTTCAGTGCCACATTTTAAAAAAAAATGTATTTGTAACAATTTTCACTTTCATTCATTTTTTTTTAAATGCATTTTTATATAATTATGTAGCTAGAAATGAGTGTTGTGATGATTAACATAACATCTCAAATGATTTATTTTTGAAACATTTCACTGCTTTAAATGACGATTAAGAAGCCTTCATTGAAACAAATCAATGAAGAAAGAAATCTCCGCTTCAATAATATGTTACCAGAGAAATCTTTTAGTTTGCTCCATCTGCAAGTAAGAAGTATATGACCCAAAACACTTTCAATCACAAGGCGGCCGCTTTTCCCCAATTTTAAAAAAAATCTAATAACAACTTACAAACAGATATAAGGATAATTTACAATCAGTATCGTCTTGAGGAA